CAAATGTTGCATCAAAAGTATTAGTGATATTTTGAATTGTATTTAACAAACCGCAGCTGCAATATCAGTTAGGTTCTACACTGAGTCATTCACGGTAAGCATTTTATTCAGCGGTCGTTGACTGATGAGCGACGCTTGTTATTGTGAAAAATAACAATCGTGCCCGTAATTCAAACATGATAGTTGTTCATTAATGAAACATAGTCTTGAATGACGTTAACAACGCCAAAGCATGAAATGAACTGTTTCAAGAAGTAGCTATCCACTGTTCGATACTGAAAGTAAAAGTGAACAACAGAAATTCACGTATCACAGCAACTCGATCTTTATAACTTTCTCTTTCATAGCAGAAGCCAAAGGCATTTCACCGTTCCACCGTAATTCGTCACGGTCCAATACTGTTAGTTAAGAACGAAGACCAGTAATAACAATGATTACTCCAGGAGTGCAGCGATTTCCCAAGAAATCTGTCGAAAAAATTCGATATTCTCGAACAAGATGTCTCGCTTTTCTTGCAGCTTCGCTCTTGTTTCCTCGAAAGCATTCAACAGCTTTTGATAGCTTTCACGAGACGTCGTCGCCTGGCGTATTTCGTCAAGAGTTTTATTAGGCTTATCTACCAGGGGAATCAGATCCTAAACCAGGTCGATCAAAGGAAGTTATCAAGGCAAACAACGTCATTGGTACAATTATTGTTTATTAACATAAAATTTTGGAATTTTAGACGAAAAGAACGCGTTCATATGGAACGAAACAACTTATGGCGAATCTAACCAAAGTTATAGAGGAAAACTTTTAAATTCAACCTAAAGAAAATACGTCATGCCTCTGACAAATACAAAATCTTACAAGTAAGCAGGTTTTATTTAAAGGATCTCATAAATCATAAAACAAAAATTAAATATAATGTATAGTGTCTTTAATTCAGTCACCATTTTGTCAGGCAAAGCATGAAAAAACAAGGCTTTATAAATTTCGTTCGTTCACAAGACCAAATATATTCAAATGTTCAGCCAACAATGATCATGCTTAAATTATTGTATCACGCGTTTAAAATTCGTGAGACTTAGCAACACTGCAAATAGGTTCTAAGCAATGGAGTAAAGCCAGCCAACTTTCACGGAGCTATGGCATCATCCGTTAGTTACTGGATACCCTTAAACAGGCCGCAGTCAGTACTTTAACACGCTTATTTTTTGGGTTACAGTAATATCTGTTAGTCACAGGTGACTTTTAAGAGTCACTATTGGATAGCAGCATCAAAATGTAGGTACATGATCAGACAATGTTTTAAAAGTCCCTCAAAACTGTTTTAAACAAGGTCTCATAACGATACAATTTGATAAGCATTTATTAAATTTTATTTCATTAGATAAAATGAACAGCATTTTACCGCCAACAGTTGTTAGCGGTTAACTACTTACGAACGAAAATCAAGACTTCCCACTAACTACCCCATTGCGTTGACCAGGTAAGCGTCATCATTATCGAACTTATGCGCACAAGCAACCATTATGAATACCATGGAAAGGACAGTTATTCTGATCATAATAGCACTGTAGGTGCGGATATTCACGCGTGCCACCAACAAACCAACCAGTTTTTCCAAGTGTTCTAATGCGCAAGGAATGTAAACTACTGAAGTACCAGTATTTTAGTAAGCTTTCATCACCTATTCATCTGGACCCATTTAAAGATATTAACACAAATCATGCGAAAGAACAGGTAGACAGGGATGTAGAAATTGACTAAAATCCGTAACGCTACAAAAGTCATTACCGTCACCATGTTGTCGACATTTTCCGGCAAGATTATTCGTTGAAACTGCTCCAGCTTCTTTCCGATCGACTCAAGACGATTGAAGAGGTAAACGATGTGCTTCAACGATTCTTGAGCTCGTAGCTGCTTTTCCTGTTGCTGTTTGAAGGTTTCGGTGGATAATGGCAACTGAAAAGCAACTTATGACATGACTGTAACTCTAGCAATGCATACCGGAGCAAACGGTATATGAAATATTTATTAAAATGCTCATGCTGTCAATCTCTCAACTATTCAGCTGATGAAGCAATGAGCAGAATTTTTCGATTTTCAAACTGTAACAGTAGTTTGCGAAGGTCTCTTTACGACGGCAAGAAGAACCACTAAGAGCATCAGTGCTGGTGAACACCGATGATGCCTCACTTTAAAAAGCTCTACGATTAAGGGAGAGTGGAGCGTGAACAATTCTTTTAACGTATGCTATGTACTTTACTAGATACATATTAAGTTACTACTCACGAATCTCGGTAGGACAAGGTTGAGAGTAGAAAAACCGACAATACCATTCTCGTTTTTTCAGGGTTTAGCGTTTTGCAAATTATCACGTTTGATAGTCAGTCATCAGATGTGTCATGGCGAAGTGCAGTCACAAGAGGTGCTCGCATTAGACGGTATAGCCGTTTACATTGCCCAGAATACCCAGTTGTCCTTACTGTTTACAATTCATCGACTTACAAGCCTTTATTCTGCTGGTTCCCTGAAGTAACTTGGGTAAATCCTTTGCTGAAAAAAATTCTCCATTAAGACAAAGATCATTCCATATCTGGATTGGAAAACGGCATCTCCGAGGTTCGCAGCGACGCCTTGGCCACTGTGCCAAATTCCTACTTCGAAGTCACAGGGCCGATCATCACACACTAAAACTATTAGCAAGTTCCGGCTAATGCAAATTTGGCAAGTTTAAAGCGAAAACGAACCCATGATGGCCTTTCAATTAATGAATAGTTAATCAATACACTAGTACTAATGAAAGGAATTACCTCGATGAGATACGTGAAATGTGACACAAACTGTCGTTTTGAGTTTTATTCATTATGTAGCCATTTAGTCATATTCTGATCAGAGATAAAAAAGATATGCGATATTAACGTAGTGAGAATTACGCTTCGGCATATTCAACACGACGTGAATTACGATGAATTACATTTTGTACATTTCGACAATTCTTCGAGTATGGCGGAGGCACTGCTTTCCACTGAGTTTAGTCCAAAGGATGGTCATCCAATGTTCATAAGGCAGAAAATTTTCTGAACAGTTTTTCAATGCATGATTTCTGAAAATAATTTCAATTTTGTATCGTCTTCTTCAGTAAACTGTCACAAGCGAAAAGACAGATAGTAAATTGTTTTTATTGTAACTGCCAACGTTCCAGCCAAACATCGGCCACCCTGCGGATTCCTTATTCTCTGACTATCACTGCTTAGATTCTTGAAGGCTCAGCTTTCCTGGCAAGCTCAGCTATTAGCGAAAAACACTCAAACCCTTTGGCTTTGGCATGCAATCCATCACTAAAATCCATTAGTCACAATCTGTGATATGGATGCTGGAGTGTCAGCCAAATTGTTGTAATGGCTGGTTTTCACGTGCCACGAAGTATTGTAAAGAACCATGGTTAGGGAAAATGCTGATGCTTTAGATAAGGTATGACCTTCGTTTAAAATAGAAGGATGAAAGTACCTGCAAAGTTTTGATGTGAGAGAAGAGGTCCACGGTTCTGTTCACAATTTCGCGCGTCAAATCACGGCCAAGAAGACATAACGTCAACGGGCCATATTGGTCAATATTTTGGACGGCGTGATACACACTGCCGATGAACAGCTGGCTATGAGGTGAAGACTTTGACTGGGTGGATGGCCACATGTCGTTACCACCCTGCTGATGACCATCTTCGGGGGCGACATTTCGCTGAGCCATGGCTGGGTTCATCGGCCTTACAATCTCTCGATCACTGACGCCTCTTGGAAGTACAGGCTAAAAAGAAAACCAGTGTATTGACAGTTTCGAGACATAGCAACTGAAGTATACAGAGAAGTCTTAAATTATTTTAATACCCTCAAATTAGCGGCCAAAGGGTAGATTTCTTGTGGGATCAATGAGGGAAGGCCCTGCATAGGTCCATGGCGACCGACGTCTGGAGCCACTGATTGCTCAGTCTTCGGAGTGCTTGGAACCTGGCCGGGATTTTCCTGCGTATTACAATTAAGGATGAACGGGTTCGATGAACTCATCGTCGTTGATTTGAAAGATGTGCTTTGAATTTATTGGATAATGCATATATTCGTCAAGCCTGAAATGCAACACTTGGTGCAAATTCAGTAGAAAATTTCAAACTGCTGAGAAACGTGTAGAAATCACAAACCGAAACAGACACAACAAAAATAAAAGTACGTGCTAAAAAAGCTAATATAAAAATCTCTACCTTCTTCCTTAAGCACATCTCGTGATCGCTGCTTGAAATTTAGATAAATTGAAGCTAATGCATAAGCCTAGATAGGCCTAATCGTCATTTCCAGGTATTGTATAATGATGGTAGTCAGGCCTTAAAACACAGGCTTCGTTTATCATCAACAGACTGATCCTAACTGCGCTGTTATAAGGTCGATTTTGGTGCACGGACTAGAAGCATCCGCGCTTGCAAGAATACAAAGAAGGAATATAGATTCAACAACGCGAATACGATACCTACTGAAAAGCAAGTGGTACGCATGCATTAGGAATGAATACGATTTAGCGTTAACGGATCTTATAGTTATTTCAATAGCATCAAGAAGTAGAAGGCTGGCATGGTTCGATCACCTACGAACATACAAGCTTCAGGTCTAACTGGCTTGTCAGGCCCTGCGGTATGAGCCGAAACAAAGTCAACAAAAGAACAAGTACTTGGAACACCATATTACAAACAAAATTAAAAGATCTGCCACCAATGAGGATTCTTTCATTCGTCGACGCAGTAAATAACTCATAATATCAAATAACAATACGTTGAAAAAGAGGTAAAGCAAAAAATTTTCATAAATCTGCGGTTTTGCAAAGTTTGTCACGACAAAGTAACAATGACACCCTAAACATCACCGTATTCGAAAAGAAATACATTTATAAAAGCTGTTTAATACATTGACGAAAAAATTTGCGGCATCCACTATTCAAAAGCAATTTCCCTCGACAAGAAAAAATAACAGTAAAATACTCACAAAAAGGATTCGCAATAGCAGTTTAATACACACTGAAGGTCAGTATAATGCTTGTTTCATTATAAGGATAAAGACAATACAATTAGGCATGAAGGAATAACAGCAAAAATACGAAACACATAAGTAGTCGTTAAGCTGTCGGCAAACTAACTAAACACTTAAACTGATGACCGTCAAGCGATAACGATTCTCTCATGACTCAGCCAAAACAGAAATGGCTGAATTGCATCTAACTTCTATCCAACAATCAGCGATGAGCACTATGAACCCGTGCCGAGTGCAGCGATAAACAGGATGAAAATAATTGATGAGGTGAATGATTGCTGTTGAAGAAAATGCACATGCACAGTAAGCAAGGTTTCAGGATTGGTTGTAAAAGCTCTTCGAAAAGACTTCTAAATCAAGGTACCGACTGCCTGCATCAAGCTGACAGCCACCAGTTTCACAAATTCGTTGAGAAGGTACGGGTACATAGGTGAAAAAGAAGGCACCATGTGCTCGAAGCGTGAAGAGCGATTATTAAAGTTATCATTTGACCTCAGGTGCTTGAAATAGTGCAAGTGCTTCAGCATTAAATCAGCAAGATAATTCACATATCAAAACAGAAATAATTGCAATAGAACGCTTCTAAGATTTTTCGTAGACTTTAATTTTCGTTTCCTCATTTTGAAAAGAACGTTGATAATTATAGAAGTCAAAAGTATTCTGCATTTTTAATCTCGCATATTTTGGCCTCTTTCACAATATAGCTGATGAAACTCCTGATATGATTCTCACAAAAAATATGGATTTAAATTCATGTTTTTTGTTCTCGCGATCCCTGATCGGTTATTCGTAGGTCAGAAAAGAAATTATACCATTCATGGCTAAAGCAATTGTCACCTCGACTCCCTATTTATATAAACGCGATGGATACATAAATCTTAGATTTCAGCATGGAAGATGAACGAATACGAAATAATACAGCGTGCAGCAGCTGCAGATTGGTTGTTTTGAGGACTTGACTCACGGTTCTAATGAACAAAATGAATTGCGTGCTAAAGATTCTACATGCTAAATTACAGATATCTGCATTATTAATACGAAAGCCAAAGCATCTTCAAAGCAGGAAAACAGACGACAATATGAAGATGATCCGTGAAACGTTGTTTGCGGAAATTTAAGCAATTTGGGATAATAGATTTCAGTAGACATTCAGGTTAAAATTGCGTGGCTTCTTCCTACGGTATAACATGTTTATGTCACGCCAATGTTTGGTTGTAGTTGCAGCCTGAAAGTCGTTGTTAGTGCGTAGGTGAAAGAGCTTTTCCGTTAAGATTTACATAATGCCTCCCAAGCCGGACCCAACAGAAATTAAAATAGGTAAGAATGAATTTCACCATATTTTTTGACTCACCTTTAGATTGAGACCTTGATGTGATTGGTTCTTTACATATTCATGTTTCCGCATGATCAATTATTCGGGATTCGAGAATTATATAAAGTTCGATGTTAGTGACATTCAGTGATAAATCTATCTAGTTGTAGTGTTATCTTGAATGTTAGAAATTTGGCGCTGTCAAAATTGGTTCATTTCCTTTTTTGACATTCTTTCAACTTCTTTTCCGCGTGCATCTTGAGTACGCAAGTTTTTTTCGAATTGCTTTCCGGTGAAAATTACGGATATGTATTCAAGGTTAAAGGGTTAAAAGAATAGATTTTTTCGTCAAGGTGAGTATTTGTTCAATTACATGAAAGATTTAGCGTTTGTGCATAACTGATTTCCTAATTATTAAAATTTTCTGCCCGCGGTTAAAACCGTCTTTCAGTACGTCCGTTGTTTTTTGCAACGCTTTTGATACGTAGCTTTATATGCATTTAGTTCCAGGTGAAGTAGAGCCCAGCACCGCTCTCTCCATAATTAGCATTTGATCCGATACTGTGGGTCAACAACATGCCGCGCCTTCAATGAAATCCTATTTTTCAGATGCAGTGAATAAATCAAGATTTCTATTCCGTCTCAATGTTAATTTGATTTCACGATATTCGTAGTGTTTGGACTCGTTATTATATGCTGTATTTCTGCTACGAGCGGTTCTGATGCGCCTAATTTTTATTTAGAACACATGCAAAATGAGTACTTTTCTTATCTGGTGTATGTAACTGGTCAAAATGTGCATATTACTTCGTTCAGAAACAACCAGTTTAAATAGTTATTTTATTTCTGATATATACCTGCAACAGATTTTCATGTTTGCTTCTTTCCATGCGATATGCCGGCTTTCCAGGATTAAATCATACATGAAATGGTCTGCCAGTCAAAGCCTGAACCCGTTCAACCAATTTTTGACTAATTGATGTTTGAAATATGTCGCTACCACATTATAGCGCCGAAAACGTTCAGAGTGAAGAAAAATTTGTTTCTTACTTTATACTGGTACTGCAGTGATTTAAAACGACTGAAAATCTTACTCTAGTAAGTACCATAATATTGCGCCGCCCCTTTGTTTCTAGCTGCCTGCGAGAATTTAAGCAGGCCACGACTCCATGGTATTTAAGCTCCTATACAATGCACATAATGTAAGAACGCGTTTCTTGACTGGGTTGAACAAAAGAATGCTCAAACCAAAACGCCACGATCCGTTGTCGAGAAACGAAAACAATCTGATATTTTGGAATTGGAGGTCATGCGTCAACGTCGGGGTTTAAATATTATGAAGCCATGACCTACTTAAATGGTTCCCTTAGTCTACCAGCGGCAGTGAAGCGGATTAATACCGGGGTATTTCTTTGTTAGGCTTTAATCTGTCTTTAGCCATCACACTCACTGTAAAGTAAGAAATAAATTTTACTTTCTTTTCACTGTACGTTTTCGACGTTTGAATCCGGTATCGAAACATTTTAAGTATTATATATCAGCGGTGGTATCAAAAACTCCACTCATAGATTCAACTCCAGAACATCAAGGTTGTGTTTGTTTTGATTGATTTAATTTTATACCTTGCTACTTCAAAGCTAGTTCGATTATAATAACGTATTTATATCATTTATTGATGATAAATCAGACTTTATGATACTCGGTTTCTCTTGAGTACAGAACCCTTTAATATTGCATAAATGCGGCGATGTAAATTTTCAAATTAAAAAATCGACCGTAAAGTAAGGTAGGTAACTGTTTCTTGCCGAATCCGACCGGCAAAAGGTCCAGGGGACGGCCAAGATTTACCTGGTGAGAATATATGGAAGGAGTCTGTTCCAGACTCCACTTGTCTTCTGCCGAAGCTCAGACTCTGGCAAGGATCGGAAACGTTGGAAGCACTGTCTGACGCTTCGGTCTTCGCGACCCGAAAGGAGCAGCGGCGATGGAAGATGAAGATTAGAATCTTCCTTTTGAGCACTCCTTTACGCTTAACGTTTTTTCATATTCAGACAATGTAAGGGACATGGCCATTCCGACAAGTTTACGTTTCACTATATCATTCGTAACCGGATAATTTTTCGCAACTTCGAATTGTTTATGAGCACCTGCTTTTCAGCCTTATAAAGTAAATATATGTTATAGTTAGAGTATTCTTCGCGATATCACTCTTAAAGCGAACATTGTTTAATTGATGTGGTTGCTAGCAGAAACAGTAGCAGGGAAAATTGTTTAATAACTAATATTCTGTTCTCCGATGTAGGTTCGGCCGAGACATTTTTTAGATATCTTAAATTTTTTCATTCTGAGAGTGATAGAATCTGATGATTATCTATAGAATTAGGATTAATACCGCCAGGAAACTATTCAAGGCCTGCTTTTATCTTCGTTTGAACAGAGTTATCTTATCGATTTGTTGTCAGTAGCAAAAAATTCTGTCGTACATCCCTCAAAACATAGTTATATTAATTCTTTGCGATTATTTTTTTGTCAGTTAAATATTGAAAGTGAAGTGTATTCAAAGCCGTGTTTAAAATGTTCTTGTTGGATTGTTTTAACGTTATGATGTTCTGGGTAAAACAAATTTAAATGTAATGGACATGGTGAGATGAAGGTTAGTTCTGTTTTTTAGTTTATCTACGTTGCGTCGGCGGAGAAGTAGGTGCTACGACGTCACTGGCACCAAAAGTTGGTCCTCTTGGTTTGGTATGCAAATTTTGTTTCCATTTACCTCTGTTGTGAAAGCCATTTATTTGTCTCGATTTTAGTCTCCCAAGAAAGTTGGTGATGACATCGCGAAGGCTACTGCCGATTGGAAAGGGCTGAAGGTGACCGTGAAGCTAACCATTCAAAATCGACAAGCAAAGATCGATGTAGTCCCTAGCGCCGCCTCCCTGATCATTAAAGAGCTGAAGGAACCGCCACGGGACAGGAAGAAGACAAAGAACAGTGAGTCGAGCTGTATGCTGTTCGGGTCGGGCTTTCAGAGAGCTCATCCCTCAGCCTAAGACTGGTGTTTTTGGGCTGATACCCTCTTAATGGGTACGTAAAGCCGCAGACGTTGTTTGGTATCAAAAGTAGCTGTGTGAGCAGTTTGAAAGCCTGACGCCGAGAAACAGCTATTAAAACATTAATTAAAACTTAATCTCAGTTGATTCTATTAGAAAAAAAATTAGTAATTGTTAATTTAATTTTCGCAAGCAACTGTATTTGTTTCACTTCAGCAATATGTGTATTTATGAAAAAAAAATTTTTTAATCTAATATGGTAAGCTGACACTGACATTTAGTCTAGACACGTTGCTTCTGAGACAGTCGTGTTACGTGGAAGTAACAGTTCTGCCATTAATGGCGGTTTTCTTCAGGAAGAATGGAACAAATGTTACTGCCATATGTAAGTCAGGTTAAGATTTATTTGCCACTTTCCTCCATAATTAGTCACTCGTGCTACTAATCTGTGGTTGTTTGTCGTTGTTCATTAGACACTTTTTATTTCCATGTGCAGAGTAGAAAAATGGAGTTGCGAGATATTCTGTGTTGGCAAGATGCCGCGTCCTTGTAATCACTCTTGATTCACGAAACCCATCTTTCTCTAAACTGGTAGAATTCGTGCAGCTTTATCACTAAATAGCCAGTGGCTTCACAGGCTAGTTGTCTTCATTTCATTATCATGTTTGAAAGTGATCATGATCCCCTTTTTGCCGCTGTTTAGCCTGTTATTGCCCATGGGTTGCTATATCCAGATGCACAACTTGGTTATGCAAAAGAAATGCATCGTAATGCTTTGGAAGTTGACATATGATCATAAAGTGCTCATCAAGACTATATCGCCGTAGCAGCCAGCGTACAATTCTCTTGATTGACTGTGTTGATCAAATGCTCATTAAGAAAGTGTTCAGCCACCGAATCATAGTATCCAGTTACGGTATGCCACTGTTATTCATGTACTTACCCAAAGATACTATTGCTTTTATTCTGCAGTGTCTTGGAGACGTGGCCTGCAAGACTACGGTGGAGTTACAGTGAGTCTGTTGGCAGATGCCATGATGTTGTGCGTCCTTATTTTTGCTTTTTCTAATCACCAATCATGTGAAGAGTGGAAGCAAATGTGACGTGGCGCGTTTATCCCAGATGTGCATACTGTCGCTTAGCAGGATACAATGATGACTGACGAGGCACTGAATCGTGCTTATTTCAGTTAACCTCTCCTGGATGATACTACATCACGAAGGTCGCGCTTGGACAACGTGAAAGCAGTTTAAAAAATTAAACTCCCTTTCTTTAAAAGACTTCGATAATGCCTTCCTTCATCGCATGCGATCATATTTTACAGACTTGCGATCTTTTTATAGTTAAACACAGTGGCAACCTCACGCTTGATCAAATAGTGAACATTGCGAGACACATGAGACCGAGGTCAATGGCCAGAAAGCTAGAAGGCACAGTGAAAGAGATTCTTGGCACATGTCAGTCAGTCGGTTGTACGGTCGAAGGGCAGCACCCACACGACATCATCGACAAGATCCGATCCGGTGAACTGCAGGTTCCAGCCGAATGTAATTCAGGTATTGTGATACAAAACTTTGTCTTCAAGCTACTCTTCTTTAGGAGGCTGCTAAGTGCTTGTTCAAATGCGATCCTGAAACTGCTGTCGATACGCGTTTCGATGTTTATGATACATTTTTGCTGAATAAAATTTTATAAAATGGCAACAAAATTCTATTGGTTTTGAGCTCCAGTTTATTTAAATTTTGTTGCAACCGCTTTTTACAGGTTTAATCATATATTGAAGCCAGAAACGAGAAAGACTTTTATATAGAGCAGACTGGTAAAGATTTTTTTGTTTTTAAAATTTGCAGGATGTAAGTTCGAACATTATTATGGCAATGACGTTATTAATTCAAACGGAAATTTACAGTCTTGTTTCGTAACGAGCTGGTTTTAGTATGGAGTTATGGTCGCAACATTTGGTACTGATTGAAGGTAACTTACGCAGTTTGTCATTTTAGAGTATTTAAGAACAATTTTTGCCGAATCTAAACGTACTACTTATCCATCTAACGGTGATTCGTGTTTAAAGGATTCAGTGCTGCTGCTTCGCACAGTTCTGTTGTTTGATCAGTCTATTTTACCTGAGGGTCTATAAAGATTGGCTGGCACCGAGTAAATTCTGAATTGTCTTGCCCCAAGTTAATCGTGGTTGGGTCCGGTTTCGCCCATCCATTTGAGCAATTAGTAGTAGTATCGCCGTCTTTACTGAAGGCATTTGCAGGACGTGCCTAACCATCACAGCTGTGACTGCATTGGCGGCAGCCCTGAATGAGCCACTCGTAACGAGCATTCATTCGGTTTCTTCGTCGGTGGCCGTCTCTTTGATCTGCTTAAATCGTTGTTCGATGCTGTTTGCAAGTTTCTCACGTAATCTTTGTTTTTCTCTTGATCCTACCGCCAGTTTTTCGAATAATTTTCGTTTATATCGGAGGGTGCCATAACAGGGTAATGATTAGTTTACAGCTTTGCGCCCTTAATGCGGAACTTGCATTACAGAGCGTTGTTAGACCATTTGGTTAAGAAATCGGTTACAAATTTCCCTATACGTGGTATACTCTTGGACGCTTCAGTGGTCGAAGGAGGGGTTTATAAGAGAAATTGTTTTCATTAAAACGCTGCAACTTCATGCCGTTATTGTTGAGGACGCTACATCGGCGCGAATCAGTTTTGCCTTTATACTTCGTGTATTCTCCAGGATTCGCATTGCTTTCGCATATTAGAATGATGGATTTTATACTCGGCGTTTCGAGCAGAATACCTGCTTCCTGCAGGTACTAATATTGTACCTCGAAATTGGGCGCCGGTTGTGTTGCGCCTGGATGTTGGTGACCTCCTTTTCGCTGAGAGTGCTCCAATAAATAATCTGTTACCCATATTCGATTCTACTGGATCGTGTTCTGACAGCGTTTCTGTAGTCTATACTTGGTAGAATAGCTCCCACTAGAAATTCAGACTTGCAGTGTCTTGGCGCTTCGCTGCCGGGGGGGGGTCTACATATCTCTAATTTGTACCTTGCATCTAACTTTCTCCTGTTCTTTTTTCTTGAGCGAGAGGTTCCACTTGTCATTCCTGTGGAATCTTGATTGACAAAGGTATTATACTATCTCCCTCCTCCTTTTGAATGGGTGGTGGATCCTTGCTGACTTATCTTGGTCGTTGTCTTGTCGATGTTTCACATCAATCGTTGTGCGGCTATGTCTCGAGCTTCCAGGAGGGCAGAAACAGGTTCTAGTCTCTGGATTTCCTCAAATTGCGCAACCCTTGTTTCCTGACGAATCCCTGAGCGTGTTTAACATTTGATTGCGGCAATACGATGAAGGGCACGTGGTTAAGTTTAACGTACATAATCGCCGCGAATACCGGCGTTGTTTTTTCATGCGGACGGGAGTACGGCAACAGAATAGTTTATAGCAAGAGATGTTATGGAATATTAAAAATGTATTTTTACAGCGCCTTTGTCTTCTGAATTTTGTACAATTAAATGAGTGAATTGAAGTACAATTTTGGAGAGAAAACGTTGTTTGTTGAGTTTCATTCCCTGAAACTGGATAACATCGTTTGAAATGGTGAAGGATGTGTGCACAAAGCTATCTTGTTGTCATTCTCTAAAAAAACTTCTGCGGTCTGTCGCTAGATTCAGTTTCGATTTTTAGGTATATTAATTCATAAAGTACAAGTATTAAATTTGTTAGTGCTGTCTATTAGAATTATATTGTAAATATGTATTGCAATTTTTTTAATTTTTAGTGAATACGAGATGTAAGACAAAAGGCTTTCTCAGAAAGAGTATAAATATGCATAGCGCTAAATAAAGTCAAAGAAGTGCAGTAAACTTCTACGGAGTAAGTTCCTGTAATTATAGTAAATTTAGATTCAGCATTTATCCGGTATTAAGCCATTTTCATCCGTTGTTTTGATTTTCTAAATGTTTCGTGGTTTCAATGTCATTTTTGACGTTATTACTCCTATATTTCTGCGTGACCACCTTTTTTATATATCATGTTGAGGGTAACGATGAAATTTCTTTCGTCAATTTTTTGTCGCTGTCCTGCATTGTTGAATTGTCGTGTTTAAAATTTGGTCGCAGATTCGTCGATTGCAGAGTTAAAATTAACTTGACTTTTTTGTGCCTTCGCTCAGTTGCGTAAGATTAAATCACGAACGTGGGAGTCAAACATGTTACAACTTTTTATCTTTACGTCTTAATGTTTTATTTGTATGGATTTAATAAAAGTTTGTATTCGTTGGCGTTAGAATTTATTTGAACGGTGGATTGGTGCCATTTAGTGAGCAGTTGTTCAGCTTCTTTTAAAGCGGCTCCTTGAGTGTAATGTTGCCTAAAGTTAATTTTTCGCTGGGTAGTGTTCTGTTGGCCTACGTCCTTTTCAATTTCGCAGAATTAGTATCAAAAATTTAACTATTTTTATGATGTATTTATTTGTTTCGGCGGTTCAGATAGTGAGGCAAATCTCAGGCACATGGCCTCAGCAGATTAAGAGAATTTTTGATGTTCAGAAGCGTTATTCATATAGTCGAAAACTTTGGTGTTGTAGGAAATTGGACTGCTAGCTTAAAACGCATTCGGTGTATGCTTGTATACGTTTAACATCAGTCAGTCATCCGGTATTGTCTTAAAAATCTCAGACGTTTAGAGCATCAGTCCTTTAAATTTGCTTTAATGTCTAAGGATCGATAACTTCCAAAAAAATCAATTCGTGTATTAACATTTTGCATTTTTCGATTTACTGCTGTATGATACGGACATTTGTTTGCAGTTTTTCCCTTTTATTTGTTTATTATTTTTTCCACCGTTAGTCTGCAATCTAATTGTGACTTCTCTCTTGGTATTGAATCTCGTTTTCCTACGGGTGATTGATTTTTTCAAGGTGTGTTATTCGTTTTCTCTAACTCGATCAATAACCGAAAAATTGTTTGCCAACGCTGTTTCTTTGTGTAACTGTCCTTTTCATGATATCGTGTTTGGCGTTATTTAGTCTACGTACGCACATTTCGCACCAATGGGCCAGCCAGTGGGTTATTCGTTATGTTGTAAAAGGTGGAGAGTTTTCCACCTCTTCAACTTAAATCCTTTGAGTTCAACAGGCAGCAGGGTTACCTTAGATGATCTGAGTGTTCTTCAGGTTCATATTCAAGCCCTCCGCCTTCGTAGCGTCGTTGAACCTTCGGATTTTTTTTGGAAATATGATGACCTTGAAAGAATTATAGTCTTCCCTGCAATCTCACGTAATTTAAGCACTGCAAATTCGACTTCATCTATTGATATTCCCAATGGTGTGTTATGGATGACTTGCGGCTGTCGTCAATGACCTCGGTGATGTAGCATTTTCTGACGAGTGCTGTTTTAAACTTTGGATTTACTCTATTTTGGAGAGGCTTCTCACTGGCACATGCATTCTTTTAAATGACGATTAGGATTATATATTTTGATTCCCTTGCTCCTCAACGAAGGCAGTTCAGAATGGATGTAAGCGGAAACGACAGCCGTTAGAAATCGGCAAACTGCATACAGCTTGTCTGAATTAATTGTACCACATGAAAATGATCCATCGTACGGTCTGATTTTGAATCCTGCCTGCTTCTTTGACTTTGCAGCTTAATGGTATATCTTGAAGTCTAAGTACCTTTTTGAAAATTATAAATTACTGTTGGACGCAACCCAAGCGCGAAGATATATCGAAGGTTCGTAATTGGCGAGCTAAAACGTCAGCTTATACTACATAAGACGGGATTGTTGTAAGGAATAAGCTCGTTATTCTAAAGAAAGCGGAATATTTCAATGAAATACTGTATAAAGGCGACTACAAAACCCTTTGTGGCGATAAAGCACCTGATAATGGAGACAAACTGATATCTGACATGCGATAAAACAGGCCAGTCTAAGGTGTCTTGTGGAAATAGTCTGTGTTAGAATTCAGGAATTTACTAACTACTATATGACTAGACGGTTTAGAAGAGCTGCAACTTCCAATCAAGTGGACAAACGAATCATTGTTAATATTTGCACGAAGACGGTCCCGATTTTCAGATCTACCTCCACGTCTCGGATATGTTTTCCTCTGTCTCTCTAACTGCCCTCGTTACATTATGATACATAACATTATTGTTCATTTTTGCTTTTTGCGTTGCGTAAACTCTATCGAATCAGTTATTTTATTTGACGGGAAATTTCAACTGTAATCAGTGGATGGAATAAAACTTCTCATCGAGTTTTGTCAAAACGCTGCTCATAATTTTTATGTCGTAATATTAATCTCTCAACTGATGAGAACATTGCAATTTGTACGTTACTTCATTTCTGCAGAAATTGAGTGTTCAAGTGTTAACGCTTTCGAATTAAACCACTTTTATGCTTTTCAATTTTGCTTGAAAGATTCTTCACGTTCTTACAGCACCCTTGATGGGTTGTTTTCAAGTGATGGCTGTAAATAGCGAGATGTGTTTGAAATTGTGGAAAGCAGGTATTTAATGAGTCGTAGACGTGGCAAGAAACTCAAGCAAACAAAAATACTTCTTGTATTTGCAAGTCTACCGCTTTGTCTGCTGGCTG